CTTAATGGAATCAATGGACATCTGCACCATATTCAGTTTTGTTCAAGTTTCACCTGCACATCCAGTGGTTATTGTATCAAAACACATTTGCTTGTCTACAGTTTATACATTTTTATCTTCTAGTCAATCAGAAAAAACTCAATCATGTGAGATTTGTCTCACAAGAGCTTCTTGCTGCCAAAACAAGCACAGTACTTAAATTTAAACATTAGAGTTGTATTGATTCTGTTTTTGCTGGTTTGTGATTTATGAACAGCTCTGACCCGTCCACATGACTTATCTCTAAGTCTTGGATTTTTTAAAATGTTGCTTGAAACATGGATTACATATTGATTGGTTACATCAATCAAATCAAATATTGGCAGAATTTAATCACCATGGTTTTTTGTACACTATACTTGAACCCAATGAGGTGTTTGTTTGGTGGGTGATGTGAGTGCCACTTTTGCTATTAACTGTTAAAATGATAACAAGTCCTGTTTAATTCCCTATTATTACAAGCTGAATGGGAATGTAATCAAAATCGTGAGTTCTAAAGCACCAAACAACAATGCACAGCAGCATAAATGGTCAAAAACTGTCCTTTTGACTTGTCACAGATACATAAAGTTTAACATTTCACATGTCACAGCCAATTTACCAAAAATAAACCCACTGGCCCACACAGGGTGATGTAAGTTTAAAAAAGTCTCCTACAAAGCAATAAATTATTATGTCTTTAGATCACATGGAAACCAGTAATTATAGGCTAATAAGCATTTACCCAGTACTTTGTTACAGAACATCTGACCTCATTCCTTATTACAAATGGTTAGAGTGTACATTGTGTGCCGTGTGGGTTTGGAGCTGAGCCTTTTACTGAAACAGCCACTATAAAGCAAATTAAATCAAGGCTCGATGAGGAAGTGTGATTAGTGAATTCTTTTTAGATCCGGGTAAAGCATTTGATATTGTGAATCATGGTGTTATAATATCCAAACAGTCTAAATAAGACTTTTCATCCAACACCTTAATTAGAGTATCTTTGTATTTATCAAAGCAATTACTTTGTGTCAAATTGTACAATCTAGTCCTACAAAGAGCACTTTAGGTGTCCCTCAAGGATCAGTGTTCAGAATCCTTTTTTTGCAGTCATTATAACAATGATTTCTAGAATAAATGCTGGAATGTTGAGCGACAAATTTACACAGATTACATACTGTTTTGCAGAGGCTTTGCGTGTCGGCAGGCAGGGTAGGCATTTCATTGGGGCCCCTGATGTCACAAGTTGGCCCCAGAAGGCTGACAAACCCCAAAACAGTGAGTCAGTGAAAAGCTGTCATTTGACAGCAGTAAGTGCGTTTACATGCAGCCAGTAACCCTTTTAAAACCTGAATATTCGCAATAACCCGGTTCCGCACGGCCATGTAAACACCACCAAAAACCCGGATATGCTCATAACCGGGTTGTTAAAAACCCGGTTACTACACCTGGGGCAACCCTTTTCTAACCCGAATGTTTGGTCGTGCAAACGCATATCGGGATATCCCCACCAAAGCGTGTGTTCTGCGCATGCTCTGTTCGCAAGGAATCTTGGTCATTTGAGTAGCAAGACGTCTATATGCGCCAGAACACCGGAAGTAAACAACAAGTTGGGAGCAACATGGCGAGTCGCGGCACAGCACCACACTTTTGGAGTGATGAGGAAACCTCTGTCTTCATCGGTCTGGTGAAAAGTACGAACATTATGTCTTTTGTTGACGGCCGAAAGTACAGAGACAGCGAAATATACAAGAACGTAACCGAAAAGTTACGCGAAGCAGGGTTTGTAAGGACACCAGACCAAGTCAAGTACCACTGGAAGACGCTGAAAAAGGCCTAGTACAAGGTGAAAAAACAAAACAATACCAGCGGGTCCAACCCATCTTCTTTTCCTCAGTTTGATTTAATGGACGAGATTTTGGGTATAGACCCATCAGTACAGCTGAAAAAAGTGGGGTAGATATCGGATTTGAGGACGTACAGGAGCAGTTAACCGACCAACAAGGTAGGTTTGCTCGCCTTCTCCAAGCACAATAGCTACGTAACTTAGTCCAATTGTTATAATAAATAGGAATGTAACTAATTTGTACCACAAATGCTGCCTAACATGCACTGTCCCAGATTAATAAGTATAGTAAACGTCACATAAATGTAAAGTCTGTCTGTTGCTGTTTTGCGGTTTCACAATGTGTAAAAAGACATTTGTTTTTTATTATTATTATTTCATACGAATTGTATTTATGCTATTTTACAGACAGTGATGGAATGCTTGACCTGACAGACGCAGCCACACCTACAGCAAGCGATGTAACAAGTGGAAGTGGCTCACATCTTGAAGGAGAGGATGATGATGTTATGGATGAAAACAAAGGTAAGTCACGACTCTTTCTCAATCCAATACGTACGCCAACAAAGGGTTTCGCTCTCGGAGTTAGATACATGAGTCGACCCATCTGTGTTGTTTAACCTATCATTAACATCTTTGTTAACATCAAGCTTTAACATTTTGCTTGTTTTTATTTCTGGCCAGATGCAGATATTGGAGAAGGTGGACCTTCAACGACTGTGCCTTGCCAGTCTACACAGCAATCAAATCCCACTGCAGCTACTCCTGGTGAGCTTTCTAAATACTGTTACTAAAGGCATAACTGGTTAGAGCTTATTATTGTAACCCCAGATCACTCCTCTTCCTTGTGTAATGTCTGAAAATAGTAACTTTCTTTAGTGGATACTTTAATTACAGTGATTAAGAGATATTATGTAATATAACCGTTGATCCAAGCTAAGGACTATTGTCACTTTTTGCATTCCTAGTAAACTCAGAATTGTAGGAAGATGTTTGTTTATGACGAAGGCGCAGGTGACATTCTGACACATGTCAGCTAAAGGTAAACAAACATCTTCTAGAATCCACAAGTTTATTAAGAATGCAAAAAGTGATAATAGTCGAACACAAAGATAGAACTTACCAAACACTTTCTAAGGCCTGTCCTGTCTGCTCTAGGTGGGTCAAGTCGCAGGTCCAGGCACCGTTGAGCCGCTTCACTAACTCAACATCAACAGTTCATGGAGCGAATGCAGCACACGCAGAACCAATGGATTGAGCAGCAAAGGCAGTTGAGCCATGCCAGTGATGAAGCACTCATGTCTCAAATGATTGCTGAATCAACCTGTTCAATGGGTACTGTTGTTACCCAACTCCTCACAGGGTTAAGTGTATTATTCCAGCGGCCAACTCCTCGACCCATATTTAGTGATGACCGTCCTATACTCCCTGATAGTGGCCCTCCTCCTCATACCTGACCCTTAAGGGTGCAAATGTTCTCGTCTGTACTAACCGCCCCTTCCCCCGAGATTTTTCATCAACTTTGAGATGAGGCAAACGTAACAAATACACATTAACTAAGAAATAATAAATACGTGAATGAAACACTACCCTAGTTTTTCTTTTCACTGGTAAATTGTAAGAAAATTATTTCTTAGAGAAGGGAATTTAAATCAGAAAAATTATAACTTTGCACTTTTTTCATGCTTATGTCCCTATAATTATTGCAAGAACGGTTTTATTTTTATTTTCTGATGATTGTAAGTCATTTGTAGCCTATTAATCTAGACCAACCATTGCAGTAGCAAATAGTTTACATGTATTAGATGGCTTGCCAGGCTAAGTCACTGGACTTCTGCTGAACGGTTTGCTTCCGGTTAAATTCTTAAGAAGTCAAAGAAGTTGACCATTATGGGCCATTCCCATCTGTACCGGGTCGGCCCGGGCCGGGTAGCGTAGGTTGTTTACATATCTGGGTGGCCTGGTATTTTTCCGGGCCAACCAAGGCTCATTCTCAGCCCTCTTCTTGAGGGGGTCTGCTTCAGGCCGACCAGGGCCAACACACCCACTGCTGACAGCAAATTCACACCTTCCATTAGAGCAAGCCTCTGATTGGTGGGTAGAATCAGCCCACATGGTCTTAAGACAAGGATGTGTGGAATCAACCGGGCCGGGCTGGGGCCGACTGGGGCTACCCGGCCCGGGCCGACCCGGTACAGATGGAAATGGCCCACAAGTCATTTCAAGGTTAGCTTTGTGTAATTCCTTTTATTAATGCTATTATTATGATGTGTATTTCAAATGCACACACTGCTCATTACAATATGAGCTGAGTACAAAAATAATTTATTCTTATTTTAATCCAGTGAAAGGTCTTCATCAAGCCCATTGAGGCAGTAAAACAAGTAAACTGTATACAAAGTAATTAAACTGAAGATCATAAATATCATCTTAAATAATGACATTACTGTTATTTCTGTCATAGATGCATAAATCTAACAACATGGTTCACAGCCTGTTACACTCCCCTCTCTGGAAATGGAGCCTGTTCCCTGTGCATGGTCAATCATATACACACTGCATGGGAAATTAATTCCATTATTAAGCACGCCACACTTCAGAAATTTCAATTACCGACAGCAGCATGTGGAGGAGGAAGAACGCAATTCATGCCTCCTTTAATGCATGAATATTGTATTAGGCCACGAGAGTAATCGTGGCTGATAGCTACAGAAGTTGAGTGTCTCCTGGTCCATTTATATACATGACTTCTGGCCAGATGGCCACCTTAGACAACAAGTTCATTTATGCAGCCATTAAGAACCGAAAATTGTTAAATTGGTCAAGAGCGTGACAAGCAGGGGCTCCAAAGCAAAATGGCCACTCCACATAATGGGTTTAAGAGGTATAATGGTAAATGCTACAGATGCAGACAGCTCTTTTGCAATTGAATTAACACCGCTGACCTGTTTGCTTGTTACAGCAAGAATTTATAAAGCAGGCCAACATGTTTCCACAACCAAAGTACGTGTGCAAACAGTAAAAGGGCGATGCAACAAATGCTCAGGAATACAAAAGACAAAAAACCCTTGAGAAGCATAAACACACAGTAACAAAGAGGTGTGTTTTGACCCCACAGAGGACGCACACTTACCACTGCTAATATTCCCACTTGCCATTTCCTCATGTTTTGCAGACTTGAGCACTCTTTCCAGTTGGGTGAAACGTCCCTTGTTGCCATCGAGCCATGAGCCTGAAAGTAAAAAAAAAAAAAAGGTCAAAGCAATTTATATGTGACACGAAGAGTTTGATCGCTTTGTCATCGCCTCGGGGTCCAAACCTGCCGCTCTCACAAGTAAGTCCCACACCTGCACACAAATACACACACGGGCTCATTTCACAGTGTGTGTGTGTGTGTTGTGCATTGCATTGATACACAAAATCATACACTATCACTCTGGCTCACAAGCACACCAACGTGTGTGCACAGGTGTGTGCACTGCACATAACACAACTGTCTTCTGCATGAAAATGTGAAAAAATAATTTATGCTCAACCTGGTTTCATGCTTCTGCTGTGCCTTTGTGTTATCCAGGAAACAACATGAAAGCGCCGCAGCACAGAGAGTAAATAACAGAATGATTTAGGATACCAGTTTGCTGACATGTATGAATCTGGTGCTCACTTTAAAATGTCAAATACTTCACAGATCAAAATGGAAACCATCAGGACTCACATTTCCATGTCCTAGCTTGTGTTTTAGAAGAAAACACATAAATAAGTTTCACTTTTAAAAGAAACACACAATTCTGGTGAACATCTGGTACTGGTGGTGATTACACAAAGTGTTTAAACTAAATCAGCTCATTTGCCTCAGAGAATAGAAAAGTTAGCTTAGCCTTGCTTTATGACTGGGTTTTGAAGGAAACTGTTTAGAATATAACAAAATTTGGCTAACAATTGACTCGGGTTGCATCCATTTCTTGGTCTAAAGTGCCTGCTGGTTGCCTAGCAACAACATGCAGCCACAATGTAGGGGAAATATTATAAAACAATCTAGTGTTATATACTTATCTTTTTTATAAGAAAACCTTTTTATATGTTCAGAATTGTTCCCATTTATTTTTTAATTTTTAACAAATATTTATGAAAAATTCTTAATATAATAAAAATTTCAACATTCAAATGTTGCATGGAAATCGTGGTAAAAAAATCTAACTGTTATTGTTTTTATAAATGATGTGCTTAAAACAAGCTGTTTCAAAAAGTCCCTGACTGGGGCATCAGAAATGGGAATATTTGCATGAACCCCTCTCAATTCTTAATAAGTTCATTTGGCATAAGAAAATATAAAAAATCAAAGGAATTCTAATTATTCTATATGAATTTTATATGTAAAATTTGAGCAAAATCCCACCTAATGTCAAAAGATTGCTGCATTTGTTTATAGTCCTGCAGTGATTTTAATAAATATTTTTGTCATTTAAACATTTTATTTTGAAAATGTGTTTCTGTATCCCAGAAGTTTAAATCTGAAAGAATGAAGATTTACTGTATGTCTGTTTTCAGTGTACTGTAACAGATGAAATAGTCCAGATGCGTTATTTACCGCGCTCTTCTGCTTTGGCTGCTGGCGACAGCGAGAAGATGAGGGGAGCAGAAAGACTGGAGGCTGTAGCTATTTCCATGAATACCCATCATGCCAATTCTGCTGTGATTTATGAAGAGTCTCGCCAAATGACCTTCACACGTAGTGATCAGAGGAAGATATCAACAGACAGGGATTTCCGTATCACATCCGTCTTTGCCCTGGGGTCCAGACCGGACTCTGTGTGTTTGGCTGTATACAGGTGTGTGTGTGTGTGTGTGTGTGTGTGTGTGTGTGTGTGTGTGTGTGTGTGTGTGTGTGTGTGTGTGTGTTAGTGGCTAAAACTGACACTGAGCCAACCCTCAGGGCACAGGAGAACTACTGGTTGTGTCCCACATGAAGGTCTGATGAAAGTTCAGGTCTTTGTTTTTAAACAGGGATGGAACACATTAGGGTTTACTAAAAGTAAAGTTCAAAAATATTCATTGTGTGTTTTGTTTTATGACAAAAAAACTTGTTTTGGAATTTGTCTCCTGTCAACTAGTTGGGAGGTGTTATTCTGGCCAATATAAATGTGTTTTTCTAAGGATTTACAGAACACAACATAAAATCCTCTCCTTTCCTTATTTTAATAACAAAACACCAGTTGTCTTGCCGAGTTCAGACTAGTTCCCCATTCCTCCATCTGATGGAGCTGACCTTCAGTGTGCTGCCAGCCAAAACTCGGTCCATATCACACTGTGGTCCCACTGGTTCTGAATGTACGAGGGCATGTTGTTTCCCACACAACCCCAGATGTTGAGTGTCATCATGCCCTGCTGCCTGCCAGACTGTCAGCTCTGTGACCTTTTTGCAAATGTTCCATCATTCAAGATAACTCGGAATTTCCTGGGGCATTTGGGCCCTAAATCTGCAGATATGACATGAATAGAGCAAACATTTATGAAATTATGAATGGTTTACCCACAGAAATAAACGGAAGTGATGTGAGTTGGTTTTAACCCTCTGGAGGCAGGCGTTGCAGATTTGCAATGTTTAAACCTACCTACCTGGTTCTCCACCAGTGTTGGGAACGTTACTTAAAAAAAGTAATTAGTTATAGTTACTGATTACTTTGCCAAAAAAGTAACTCAGTTACTAACTGAGTTACAAGATCATAAAAGTAACTAATTACCAACAAAAGTAACTACTTAGTTACTTTTTTCATTAAAGAATGCAAGAATTACTACAATAGTAAAATATAAATGACTAATGACTGGAACATAATAAAATGTATGTCCAAATGTTTTATATAAACCTGAATAATTTAAACAAATAAGCACTTAACAGGAGGAACTACTAACAGGAGCATTACACTAATCTAGACTATTAAAAGTTCACTGTGTGACATTTAACAAAAACCCAATCAGCTAAAATTTAAAATTGCAAATAGAAACACCTGTAAAGGTTCCCGAGCCTTTAAATGGTCTCTCAGTCTAGTTAAATTACAGAAATAAATGTAATTTTGTACAGTATTTAAATTTTTCCAGCTTCACATAACTGTGTGTTTTTAGTAGCATTTCTGTTGCTGGTAATCTAGTAACGTTAAAACAGCACTTTGAAAAACAGCACACACAGCCTCCACCGCTCGGCAGAGATCGGCAGAGACCGGCAGAGACCAATATAGATATATATATGATTTATTTTTGTTACAAAACACACAATTAACTTAGAATGTGTGATTATTGTTAATTTTATTTATTTATTTTTTTAAATAAAAATTAAAAACACGGAAAAACTGGGAGGGCAGCGCCCTATCGCCCTCTACCGGCCAGCCGCCACTGTGCATCAGTGTTACAGCGGGACTAAACACATGATCAGAAACAGGTTACAGCTGGATGATCTAGGAAGGTAGAAGATCAGGACGTCTGAGCGGTGAACAGGTGAGCGGACGGACCTTCGGGACGTCCCGCTGTCACGCTAAGGGCACGGCTGCAGACCCGCAGATTCGCTGCTGCACGCATTTTCTTATCAGTAACAGGAACGACGTTTTGATAAAAGAAGACGTAATTAATTAGTTTGCTCGTTACAGAAAGAAATATTTTTTTATTAACGCGGTTATTTTAAACGGAGTTATTCCCATTGTGTCTACAGAATGCAGTGACTGAGACCGTGAGGGTCTCCGCCCACCCGGCCAATCATCATCGTGTTTGTAAGCGTGTTACCGACGACACCTCTCTCTCCCTGACTGCAGCTGAAGTGTGGCGGTCAGAAAGCCTCACGCAGCTGCTCAACGTTGGACAAGCACATAGTAACGCACAACGTTCTGTCCCCAGTAATGGTAACGGCGTTGCAACGGCGGGAAAAGTAATTAATTAGATTATTCCGTTACCTATAAAAGAACGCCGTTAGAAACGCCAAACGGCATTACTCCCAACACTGTTCTCCACATACGTATTTCATGATCACTTTTTAACTCAGAAGTACCCCTGAAGGACTTAGTTGTTCGTCCTTTTATCAAAACTTCTTTTGAGCCTGAGAGGGTTAAATGAGAATTTATTTGTCATTTTGTTAAAAACAAACAATGTAAGTCCACTATACAGTCTAAATCAGGAGTTCCCAACCCCCAGGGCAACATCTGATTCTGATTTAAGCTGGTTGGTGGTCGCTTTGTGGTCTTTCTGCATGAAGTTTTCATGTTCCCCCCATGGATGCCATTGGTTTTCTCTGGGTTTAAAGTTCTAAAGGTTTAAAATCAGTTTTGTGTACACATTGACCTTGTTAAGATGCACAACATATTTATTTATGACATATATTCTGCCTTGACAAGTATGACAAAATATCTGTAACTCACTGACAACTAAAATAACAATTTTTTTTGCAACCAAATGATGCATGGAAGTCACAGTAATTGATGTAAAAAGAGGTACATTTTGTCTGAAATCAAACTGTTATTGTTCGTAAAGGGGGATATGCAAAACTTACCTTTTGCTGCCTTTAGTGCTTCTATGTGGGTGTCTACTGCCTCTAAAACACTCCAAACATGAAAATAACAAACACAAAAAATCGTCTATCCAAATTTTATCAGTGTTTGGTTTTACAAATTATTTGCCAAAAACAAGCTGTTTCAAAATATCCCAGATTGTGAAATCAGAAACAGGAAATTAGCATAGAAGCCTTTCAGGTGGAGAAAGGATCTGCTGCTGGAACAGCAGTAGCTCTACTCTGAGCCTATGGGAGCTTCTTAGCTTATAGCAGCCTGGCGTGAGGTGTGGGCGTGGCCTGTTCCAGTTTGTTTTCTTAAAAGGACAGAGCCCTGAAACGGCTCATTCTGGAAGGTACTGAAAATGTCTAGAATAAAAATGCTGAAACATGTTTTGTATCAACCATAAAACTCTCAGAGCTAAAGAAAAAAGTCATAATATGTCTCCTTCAAGGTATAACAAACCAGTAAATAAATTGAAAACTTGTTTACATAAAAAAAACATCAGCTTGACTACAACAGCTCCATGGAAGCAAAAATAACCAATCATATTAGCAAGATAAGTTGATTAGAACAAAAAAAGTCACAAGCTCTTTTCCTGCTCCACATTTGACATTCTTGAGCAATTTCATCCTTTCCAGTCGATACAAAGCCTAACACACATTCAGTCTCTTTCTGCAGACATCTCCAATACTTTTTCAGTCTTTCTAACAGCATTAAGTGTTCCTGGAAATCTGTGCGTCTCATTCGTCAGACCGTTTTCCTTCTGGAGACTCCTGACACTCCACTCTCCAGATCATGAACCCAATTAAAGCTAGCAATTTGTGTTAAATTTATTACGCCAGGAACTGCGGCGCTATTGGCTCGGAGCTCATCAGGCATCACCTTTATCACACTTAGTAGTTCAGCTTGGTCCCTGGGAGGTCTCTGGTCATTTTTTTTGTTATTGTTCATTTGATTTATTTCCCTGACAGAAGATACCCTCACTAGAGATGGTAACACACACACACACACACACACACACACACACGAACACACACATGCACACACACGCACACGCACACACACACACACACACACACACACACGCACGCA